CAGAGCGTCAGGAGGCGTCAGGGCTCCAAGATCGAGTCAGAACCTCCTGCTGCAATCAAGGCTTGCACTCGAAGTCTGTGAAACCGTGAAAACGCCTAGGTGTAAACACGCTTTTTGTGGCTGCAGCCAGCGTGAGTTTGTGCACAAAAACGGAAGCTTGGCGACAATCTCTTGCTGTACTCTCAAGTTCTTCTGAAACACATGTCAATGTCTGTTACACCCCTGACAACATGGCTTTCTCCAGTCGCTTCTGCCACCCACTCCGCAAGTTCTGCCTGGCGGCCAAAGGAGACCAAAATTCCCTGCGAGCCTCTGAATCTTTGATCCCTCGACTTCATTGCGGATCGGGAGTCCGCCTCCCTCCTTCTGGCAGTCAGCAGCTCGTATCGGGCGATGGCATCCAGGATCTCATATCCCGCCGAGATGGCCTCCTCGTGCCGCACCACCTCTCCCAGGGCCATTGCTACTGCCACGACGACCACGGCGACGATGACGACGACCGCTGTTCAAAAACGATGAAGAACTACAACCAACGACGGCCGACGTAGGACCGCCCTTGCCCTTCTCCTTTTCCCAATCGTCCTCCCACGCTACTCCTTCTGCTTCCTGCTGCCTCCGTGTGCTAGCCGCAGCAGGAGGAGAACGAGTCAGTTAGAGGTAGTAGTGGTGGTAGTAGTACTACTAGTAGTAGTACTAGTAGTAGTACTAGTAGTAGTACTAGTAGTAGTACTAGTAGTAGTGGTAAGTATAATAGTAGTAGTAGTAGTAGTAGTAGTAGTAGTAGTAGTATTAGTAGTAGTAGTACTAGCAGTAGAATTAGAAGTAGTAGTACTAGTACTAGTACTAGTACTAGTACTAGTACTAGTACTAGTACTAGTACTAGTACTAGTACTAGTACTAGTACTAGTACTAGTACTAGTAGTAGTAGTAGTAGTAGTAGTAGTAGTAGTAGTAGTGTAGCAATAGTAGCGGTAGTAGTAGTAGTAGTAGTAGTAGTAGTAGTAGTAGTAGTAGTGGTGATGGTAGTAGTAGCAGGAGTAGTGGTAGTGGTAGTAGTAGTAGTAGTAGTAGTCGTAGCAGCAGCAGTAGTAGTAGCAATAGGAGTATCAGTAGTAGGGGTAGTAGTAGCAGTAGTAGTAGTAATAGTCGTCGTCGTCGTCGTAGTAGTAAGTAGTAGTAGTAGTAGTAGTAGTAGTAGTAGTAGTAGTAGTAGTAGTAGTAGTAGTAGTAGTAGTAGTAGTAGTAGTTGTTGTTGTTGTATTGTTGTAGCTGTAGTAGTAGTCGTCGTCGTCGTAGTAGTAGTAAGCACTCCGGCTCAGCTGTGTCCCAGCAACGGGACTCATAGTTGTGGATGGTAGCATCTATGCCATGGAGCAACTGCTGCGGTGGAGTCCGGCTCCGAAACGTGATGTTGACATTTCCAGAGCAGCGAGCCGCGCTAGCGACACTGTTGACGCTCGCCAGCTGGGTGCCTCTTGGCCCCAAGAACGGGCGCATGGGTCGACTGATTGCCTTTGCCCCTTGCCTGCCAACGCATCAGTCTCTGTGCCCGCCAGCCATACCAGCACGGACTCCTGTGACCGGAAAAACTACCTCTGCCTTCGTGCCACTGTCTGTGGGCACTGGGAGCTAGCCCCGTTGCAAGTGCGTGTCTACCAGCAGCCAGGAGTTGGCGCAGCTTTTACTGCAGCTGGCGCAAGCAAGACGTGGATACCACCAGCATTCCTCCTGGGCGCGCGCCGTCAGGCCGCCCCATTAAGTGCACGCTCCCCAGCTGGGTGCCTCTTGGCCCCAGCAAAGGGCGCATGGGTGGACTGAATGCCTTTGCCCCTCACCTGCCAACGCGCTCAGTCTCGTGCTCGCCAGCCATACCAGCACGGACTCCTGTGACCGGAAAAACTACCTCTGCCTTCGTGCCACTGTCTGTGGGCACTGGGAGCTAGCCCCGTTGCAAGTGCGTGTTTACCAGCAGCCAGGAGTTGGCGCAGCTTTTACTGCAGCTGGCGCAAGCAAGACGTGGATGCCACCCGCATTCTTCCTGGGCGCGCGCCGTCAGGCCGCCCCATTGAGAGCACAGTGCCACACCTCCTTTTTGATAGCCGGCCCGGTCCCAAGTTGAAGTGGGATGCCGACTGAAATCTCTACTTATATTGCTACATTGTCAGGCGTCCCACAGTGTGCGGGTTCCAGCTCTCTCCGTTGGAGCTGGGGAAGGCAACTTCCTTGCCTATCCGCGACGACTTCAAGTGCGGAAGCTAAACGGAGTACAGGTCACAGATGGGAAGCAGGAACCTACTCATCAGTGGAATCGATGTGTCAAGAGATCTTTCGTGCGAGCTTGCAATAGAGCTATTCGACATGGCCAAGCGCAACCCTTGTACCTGTGTATCTTTCGCTTCCTTCAGATACCCGAGGAGTGTGTAGCTGCAGATCATCGCTGCCCTGTCCCGAATGCTGACCGAAAGCCGTCGGCGGCAACCTACCCCATCCTGGGATGGGATGGCCCGCACTGGGTCCCATGTGGTCTGGACTCTGACGCTACGTCCCTGCAGGTCACAATAAGTAAATGCGAGAAAGCTGTGCTCTGGCGATGCTCTGCGGCCGGACCTCCCCTGGGTACTGAACTACACGGTTCTCAGTGTGCCCTCCAAAGGCCACTTGCAGTTCACAGGACTACAGGGTGCTGAACGTGGTCCTCAGTGTGCCCTCCTCGGGCCACTGCAGTTCGCAGGACTACATTTCTGTACAGAGAAACAAAATGATCAACGCAAGATGCCATAACAAGTAGCTGTAGCGATGTCAATAGCTCTACGATCTTTTTTCACGTTTTTACGCCCTCGCCTTCTACTTATCTGATTTTTGCACTCTTTTGATCAAGTGAAGGGTGCACTGGTGCACCATTCTCTTGACAAGTTGAGTAGGTCGCAAGTTTGCAGCTATTCGTAGCGGGACTTGCCCATGTGGTTCTAGTGCTCTTGAACCACCGGTGCAATGCACTGCCACGTACCTGACGCTAAGCTGAGCGACCGGCTGCGATTGGAATGGAAATAGTAGTAGTAGTAGTAGTAGTAGTAGTAGTAGTAGTAGTAGTAGTAGTAGTAGTGGTAGTGGTAGCCGAGGCATGCTGAGCAGAAGTACTGATTGTTCTCGTGGTGTAAGACGGGCCGTGGAAAGGGCGTTTCTGTGGCAGTGGTGGTAGTGGTCAGTAGTGCAGTGGTGTTGGAGCAAGCATAATCTCGGGACCGACTTTCTCAAAAGACCTGCGAGCCAGAGAACCTTCCCCTCCGAATTCAGCGTCATCTCTGCGACCAGCTGCGTCTCCACGCGGACCTGAGGACACCAACAACAAAGGGCATAGGAATTCCGGCTCTTGGCTTCAAGCATCTGCACCATGACCGTGTCATGTTGCTCGCTCACATCAACACTCAACTTGAGTCACTCAACCCCTCTTGGGCAAAGACCGATCCCAGAGATGTGAAAGCCGGGTCAAGTGGCCTTGGCCCCTGGCAGCAGCGGCGCATCCGCTGGCAGCTCGCGAAGCTTCCAGGAAGGTGGAAGCGGCGCGACGAAGCCAATGCTCCACCTTGAAAGGCGGCAGATTTTCCTGTGCTTCTGAAACATCGGCGCAGTCGCACCAAATTTTGAATACACGCGCACCTTGCTGTAACGACGCCCGGGTTTAGCCGCCAGGATTCCATTCGCAGGACCTTGAAGTCCTCGAGCCTCTCTGGAACCAGCTGCTGCCAATCTCGCATAGCCGACAGGTAGCTCTCGCGGCCCTGGCAAGTTGCCAACAGGCCTTCGTAGCTGATGTCATCCGCAATAAGCGACTCATCTGTGAGGAAGGGCAGGCTCTTGGCTAGCGCATCCTGCATGAAACTCGGCAAGCAACATATCAGAAGGAAGCTCACCCGCTCGCTCATCATGTTGAAGCACGGGGGCCGTGTACCAAACCTGACACCCTGGGCTCCCACGTCCGCGAGCACCTAACACCAAAAACTCTCGCCTTCGAACTCGCCAAGCTGAACCCGCTCGACGACACGACTCTGACGCCAACGATGACGATGACGCTAGAACAACAGTCGATGGTGCTTGCAACCACTAGCAGAAAGACAACGATGAGAACCAACAGTAACAACGCAAATTCCAACAGGAACCTAGCCCTCGGCATCAAAACTCTTAAAACCTACTGAACCTTAAACAGCACACTCTAAAACCAACCTAAACTCGAAACAAACCAGACAGAACCAAACCCTAAACGCCGAACACCCTGTTAGCTTCTATAGACCCGTAAACCTCCTCCCTCCACAGCCTCAGGGCTCTCAGGGCCCTTTGGCTCTGCAGTCTCGGAGTGCAGTGCGGCTCGGCGCCTCGGATTTCTAGGACTTTAGTTAGTTAGGCGTAGGAGCTCTTTTTTTGTCGGATCTTCTGCGCCTTGCTACAGTCGGAATACAACGTTTGAGGAGCTTGGAGCTTTAGGGTTTCGGCTGCAAGGATGTTGCAAACCCGGCTGTGTGTTTTCTCGTCAAGGGAGCACTCCGTACCTGCCAACGGCAGCGTGCCAAGGCCCATAAACGAAAAGCTGGGATCCTGCGGCACAGGGCAACAGACTTGGGAGAAGTGAGATCACACGAATACTGGTCTCCTGCGATCCCCAGAGAGAGCAGCAGTGTTCGCAGGCCGCGGACCATGATTCAAGGCTCCACTATGACTATAACGACATGTGACAAATATGATCTTTGCAAGATTGTAGATGCCATTTGAGCGGCTGCAAAGGCATTGAGGCCTCAAGCTCAGACTCTGTGTCGTTGTGTCGTTGCGGCGTGTAGCAATCATAAACTTCCTTTCCGATTTTGCTGAGCTTGCAAGCTGGAGCTGGAGAACGTCACGAGGCTTCGCGCTCTCAAAGATGGCACGACGTCCGCAAACTGTAAAAGCATGTAAGTGCCACGGAGCGGTGCTCGGGGCCTGCAGCTGGCGCATCCTCCACCTGGAGCAAGGCTGCCGGCTGCCAGAAGTGCCCAAGCATGATATTGCCTGTGCCTGCTATGCCTCAGGATCTCTGCAGACCACCCCTTCGATCTGACTCGATGTTTGGACTTGTTGAGTGTTGCACCTGGGTGCCCTGCCAGCAAAGAACCACCCCAAAACAAGGCCAAAACACGCGAACCTGGCCCGAGACTTGCCTTGTGCTGCGGCGATACCGACCTCGGGCCTTTCTTGCCCCGTGGCACGCGCCTGCTTCGCTTGAGGCTGGCGTTGATTTACATCTTACAGTTTTGGAAATCAACTATGGTTAGAAGACTCTGTGTGTGGAGAGATCAGAATGCAGGGCTCAAAACATGCCGGTTGCGGGAGCGACGAGTACAGAGAGCTTTCAGGCCAGTTGTCTGGTGACTGCGGGGGTGGTGCAGCAGTGGAAGATAGAATCACAGTGCCATGTCATCATGTGCTGGCTAGGTAACCGTAACAGTGTGTTTTGTAGTTGCTGCGCTGCTGCGCTGCAGCTGGTGCTAAGGCCTGCCGTCCCTGTCAGGACGTGGGCGGAAGAAAGAGTTTTAGAAGACTATACGGTGAACTGGCTTGGACGCTTGTGGTGGAAACGGCATTGCGTCAGCGGCAGGCTCGAGCGGGGCCGAATAAAAAAAATCTGAGGTAGGCGGAAAGCAACAGGCGTTGACAAGGGGTTAGCTCGATATCACCTGCGCGGGCGGTGTGTGGGTGAGCAAGGGTCCGAGCGCGATATCGGGTGCGTGGCGGTGCTCCGGGGAGGCGTGGATAACAAGCGGAACGCATAATAGATTACGATATCGGGTGCGTGGGCGGCGCGGTTGGGTGTTCGGGCTCTCGGCTTGAATTTTTTTTTTGGCAAAGAGTCGAGCAGCCGCACAAACAAACCACGATTGACATTTGAAGATCGAATGTCACTGGTCAAGCCGCAGAAACAGATTCGAAAATAACGTAAAGCTGCGAAGCAAGAAGCACAAGGAACACAGACCAAAAATGACGCACAAACCACCAAGGCGGGAACTCTGTTTCAGCGTGGGAAAGCCGTGTAACAAAGCAGAAGCCGGGCCCCGCATATGCAGATCTCAAAAACCAAGCCTGTATTGCCCAAGCTAGACCCGTTACGAGCCCAAACCCTGCAGCTGCAACTCGAAACCCTCAAACACCAAAGCCTGTTGTCCCGGCGACGGGGTCGAAGATCTGACACAAGCCAAGTCGATGGATTCGAGGAGTCTAGAAGCCGCTAAGGGGCCTGGGGAATTAGGAGTCTTGTCAAGAGTGCTTCTTTGGGGTTCGGCGATGTTGTGCGACAGGAATTGGGACACAGGGTCTGTATAGGTGGGTTCTAGGATCTTGAGGTGGCAGGGTTACCATGATTTCCAGTAGTTCGGTGGCCCCATGTTCATGCCAGGCCTCGAAGAAAGCATTCCCATGTCTTTCCAAAGGGGGTAGAACCTGCCTGTAAAGACAATCCTCTGCCTCTTTCGGCCCAACCCCAAATCAAACCGTTGACCTCTCCGTGTTGTTCAGGATGAGGGCGCTGCTTAGATGTTGAAGCCCTGTAACCGCTCCACTGCTTTGTGACACCACCACCCAGATCAGCAACCTGCTGGGAATCTCGCCTCTTCCTGTCGCAGCACCGGGCATCTCCTTAGCTACAAAGCGGCAGGGGACAGATAAAGCAGAAGCCCGCTGTCACCTCCTAGAAAGATCCAGAAAGCCAAAACGTCCATGCGAAAGCGCTGAGTGGGCATCCGAGTTCGGAGCAGCACTCCTTGACCTGGATGCGGGATGCTGGAGAGGTTTTTGAGAGAAGTCAAGGCCTTCGGCGTTAGGGCCTTAACTCTTTCGGCTCCTCGTCAGATGCACGATCACCGTAAAAACCAAGTCCCAACACTTGTAGGGTTCCAGACAAACAAGGAACAACTTGCTGTGACAAGACCCAACGCCCAAACCGAACGTTGCCCGTGCACCCGTCAAGGTGCCGTTAAAGCAGCAGCTGCAGAAGGACGAGGAGGACCACCCCACTGTAGCAGGCGGCAGGCGGCAGCACAGACACTATAACAAGACGACGTCGCAGCAGCAGCAGCAACTGGAGGAAGCGGGTCATCAGCAGCAGAGCAGCTGTATCAGCGGCAGCAGCAACACGAGCACTGCGCAGGTTGGGCCTGGTGGGAGCTGCAGAAGCGCGCCACACACGCCTGTCAAGGCTTAAATACACGGTTTTCGATGGGGCAGCCTTTGGGGCATTGTCTAGGGAAGCCTAGGGGGGTTCACAAGGCCCTCAAGGGTCGATGGAAGTTGGCCAAACTCTGTCAAAGGAGTTTCAAAAGGTCCGATCACGGGCCTGGCAAGCTCGCCAGGACCAGCGGCCTCTCCCAGGGAAGGCTCCTGGAAGAGATCTTCAGGTTCACAGGTCTGGTTCAAGGTTTAGGCTTTTAGGGTTTAGCGCCCTGCTTTGAAAACAGTTATGAGATGTCTCCCGGTTTGGGGCTTTCAGATCTAGAAAGGCGCTGCACGAGGATGGGTGAAAACTCCTGCGGACCCAACTTAACCCGTACATATATTCTGCTAAACCCAAATCCAAGTCGTGCAGGCCTTCGAAGCCCCACCTGCGCCCCGAAAAGCTAAACCCGAAACCGAAACCCCGGTTGTCCCTAAACCTCGTCAACGTCCTCCTTTGCCACCGGACCCGCAGATTTGGACCTGGCTGCAGCTGCTGGTGTCCTACAAGCCTAGAGTGACTGCTAGGGCACACGGTCCAAGAATTTGGGCTTGGGGTCTTCACTGTTCGTCGACATCCGGTGCTTTATGACAAGAGCCCGGACAAAATCGGCATGAGGCTGTAACATCACATAACATCACCCCCAGACTGTAGACTGCAGACCCTCCCTGAACCCCTACAAATCTAGATTTAGGGCCGCCCTTCGAAACTCTTCTACAGCTTTCGTCCTTGCATCGCTGCTGTGGTCCTAGCAGTCTCCAAAGCAACCCGGAAGCTCCCCGTATCTCCCCGTGTGCCCCAGACTCCGTAGGCGCAGACTGAGCAGCACCAGCTCACCCCAGCATAGCCTCCAGGCTGGCTGCGGCTTGGGGACCTTGACCCACGCAGCCATGCGCAAGCTCAAACTTCGAGACACACCACGCGCTCGAGCAAAGGAGACACATCAATACATGCGCAAGCTGAGCCATGGACCGTCGCTACATGTGGCTCCTGAGCAGAGCCTCGGTTATGAGACAGGGAAGCCCTTGCCAGACGCCGACGCCTTGAGCTTCGGATCGCAAGTCTGCATGATTCTGTCAGACCGTCAGACCTATCTTTGGTTCTCTTCTTGTCCCTGCTTACATTCAGGATGCTTTCGTCGGTTCAACGATCCCTCATCTCCGAAATTAAAGGCTGCCGAGGGACCTGTCGGAGAAGGCTGGGCAGTGTGTTCGGGCTCCTCGGCTGGGGCGCATGTGGGTGGTCTAGGGTCTTGTGCTGAAAGCCGGAGACGAAGCCTCCGGTTTGTCGAAGCCCTCCGCCTCCGGAGCCTTCGTTGACGCCTCGAGCTCGGAGCCTGCAATGCCGCTTACTGTAGCCCCGAAAACCTCCTGAAGTGGAGGGTCGAGTTTCCGCGCCTGGATTCTCCGAGCGGGGCTGAGGCTCCTGAAAGGTGGTCTCTGCCCTGCATGGAACTTGGATCCATTCCGGGGTCCTTGACAGGCTCCTCGACCTGAGGCGGCACGATGCCTGCAGCGTCCGCATGGACGGAACTGCTCTGCGAGTCCCAGCTGCAAGCGCGGCCTTCTGCCTCATCCTGAAGCTCCTGGGAGCTGCGCATCGTATCGCCACCAGCTCTCTTCACACAGAGCGAGGGAGAGGCCTGGGCCTGGGTGGCAGTTGCCTCCATGGTCCCCTCCTCACCTGACGTTGCCACTGCCACAAAGCATTCCCCCCGTCGCGACTACTCGCAGTCAGAATCTCGACCTTGGGAATGCTCGGCACCCTCAGCATCGGCGCATGGCTCCTATCAACGATCGCCAGCAGCACTTACTTGCGACAGCTCGCAAAACAACTCTGCATAGGGCCTCAGCCTCAGCCAAGTCCCGGTCGCCTTGCCAGACGAAGAAACGAAAATAACCGAGATGCGTCTTTGAGACGCGCTGGAAAAGCCCGCCTTCATCTTGCCAGCGCTCACTCTCGAGCTCTGCTCCGTTAGGCTCCGGCTCGGGGCCTCACCGAAGCTTGCCGCGTTGGTAAAGCCCTCTCTATATGTATATTAGATTCATATAGATCTGGGCAATCTACCGGAATTCGCTGCGGCCCCGCCCTGCTCGGCCTCAGTGTCTCATCTGCTGCATGGGTACATCATGCCATGGTAAGTGCCGATCATTCACCGTGGCAGGCTCCGACTCGTCTGTTGCACCTCGGACGGAGCTTCCCAAGACTTCGTCACAGGCATCATACCAAGAAATCTTCAGTGGGCAAGTCGAGGTCTCTGCGGTCACTCTTCTGGTCGCTCTGCGCCTCCTGGTGAGGTTCCTCTTCACAGATTGTCACTAACCGTCACTAACCTACTGTGGCAACCAGCACGAGACAATGCCTGGCCTTGCTCCCAAGACCGTCACAAGGAATCAATATCATGCAACCCACGCCAACAGTCAGCAGCAAGCGAGCTTGACAAGCGTCCGAGGAGCAAAACATTCTCGATGCACGATAAGCTGATAAGCTGCTGACACTGCCCTGCTTAATCTACTATCCAATACTGACACCGCGAAGAGGAGAGGAGTGATGAGCTCAGTCGGAGAGCCTAAATCGCAGAGTATGTGCAGCCTGCCTTGTCGTCGTTTGCGCCTGGACTGCCGCGGCGGGACCTCTGCATGAAGACACGCCGCATCTTCTGAATAGGCCTCATCTCCTGCGAGCACAACAGAAGCGGCCACAGCAGGTGAGAGCAGAACTGAGCATGATGTCCTCCTGCTTCTGCGCATTGCTGCCATCTGCTTCAGGTTGCGTCGTCCGGACCTGCTCGAGAAGCAGACAAGAAGACATTTGCAGGAGTCCTTCCTTTCAAGAGCTCTTAACTTCAAGACTTCAGGTCCCTCCGAGGCCTCCTCTTTGCAGCTTCCGGCACCTCGCTCAGCATCCTGTGCATGCGAGGACAGGCAAGACAGTGAGGTGCTACCCGGTCGCTGGCACCTCGGGAGCTTCCGGGGCAGTCGCTTCCTTGTCGTCCTGCCTTGGGCAGAGGATTCAGAATTCACGGGGGATGTAAGAATCCCGGATGCCCGAGCAACCTCCCCGCTCCAAATCAGAACCGAGGTGCACGGCAGGATCCTCGATCGTAGCATGGACAGAGTCGTCCACGGACTCCACGTTCAATGACTCCGGCGACTCTGCCCGCGTTGCTTCCGACTGCTCTCGTTGTACATCCTCTGGTGCCTCTTGTGCCTTTGCATGCAGTTTTTGAGGAGAGCCCGGCGGCTTCCTTGCCGGACTAAGCTCGTCGTCGGAGGCTGAGTCAAACTGAAGCTCCGCTTCACGTCGCTCGTGTCGCTCCTCCTTGTCCACTTCCTCATAGGCATGCTAACCACAGAGACGGAGATATAAACCAGCAGAACACTTGCTACTCCTGCTGTTTTTCGCTGGCGATGGACCGAGAACCCTGTTAGTGTATTCAGGGCATGCGCGGTTTGACGGGGCCTTCGTCAGGCTCAGAAGATCTCAAAACGAGTTCCTATATGTTCCTATGTTGTTTAGGTGTCAAGTTGCAGGGTTTACTTTATGGGATTTCGTGTTCGTTGAACATCCTCTGGAGATCTGTATCTAGTGTAATAAGGTCAAAAGCTTTTGCACAGTTTGGGTTCCAACCCATCGTCGCAACTCGAGATAAGTGCGGCTCAGACGCACCAGATGCGTCTGCTGAGGGAAGATCGTGTTCGGATCTCTCCAGTTTTGGCACAGACTGCGGTTCCTGTAGTGTCATCCAGTTGAAGCACCGTGACAGGCTCCGATTGCATGGAGGATCCATTCCCGGGATCCCTTATCTTATCACATCCAGGTCACAGCCTCATATGGATCGATTTCCATCAGCACCTCAGTGACCAAATCCCAAACAGCACCTCGACACCAGCACTATCTTGTCGGTCTGAAAGGCTGCAAGGAAGCACTATTCTGTGACTACGTAAGTCCATCACATGTCGGCGCCATGCCACGTCGTCGTCCTCGAGCCGTTCGACCATCGCCATGACCTCTCATGGCAACAATATGCTGTACTGACCAATCCCAGGTTGCTTGACCACAGCAGCGAAATTCCTATTCCAATAAGTCCGTTCTTGCGCATCGCACTATCGTCCGACATGTCATTACAGACCGACAGCAAACACGGTCCTGGCCTCGCCGACCACGCAAGCTCGAGCGCAAGGTTAAGGTGACCGGCTTATCTAATGCTCTAAAACATGCCGCCGTGATAACTTCTGCATCATGTCACAGCTGCTACTCTCATTTCGTGCCTCAGCTGGCTTTACATCGTACTGCGCAACATGGTATCCTGTTCAGCAGCAATGCTTCGGCACAGCAGGAAGACAGTAAGGCGACATGGCTACTGGCAACAATGCGGAACGTGCGGGCAGAAATGCAAGACGTCAATGGGCAATGAAGTTGCATTGGAAGACATGCAACTCCGTCAGCGCTTGACAGACATACAGAGATTATGTCGGGCATGTGTCCGTAAACGGCCGCGAGAGCACCTGCAAACGCGAAATAACCAGTCTGACTGTGTGGCTGTGTGTGGTGCTCGATTCGCGCTCATGACTCTCCTTCAGGTTTCAGGCCGTGGCTCAAATAGCTGACCGACACAAAAAGTCCTTCACGGACCGAGACGATCGTCTCGACCCAAAATGGCCACGGAACACCGTGGTGATCACAAGAAGGAGCAGGCATGCTGATCACGTGCTGCAGTGTGACCCTCCTATTCCAGACCTACCTAGCCGATAATAGGAGAACCACACTACACGCACGAACGTTCGCAAGCTCACTGAACAGCATGCACAACACCGAGCGGACGAGCACTGTTTAGTCCGCTCTGGCATGGGGGCGAGCGGTCCGAAGACGATCCACGAAAAGAGCATCAGACACGACCAGCCCCACCCCAGGACAACGACAACCCACGAACGGAGTCGTCGTCGTCGCAGTCGCTCGAACCCGCAACCGGCGAACCCTTCCCGGGACACCAGACGCGAGAGCATCTCGAACAAATTCCCTTCGTTCGAAACACGAGCAACCTCCCCCCTTATCAAAACAGGGCGGGTTGGGTGGGACAAAAAGTCCTTCACGGACCGAGACGATCGTCTCGACCCAAAATGGCCACGGAACACCGTGGTGATCACAAGAAGGAGCAGGCATGCTGATCACGTGCTGCAGTGTGACCCTCCTATTCCAGACCTACCTAGCCGATAATAGGAGAACCACACTACACGCACGAACGTTCGCAAGCTCACTGAACAGCATGCACAACACCGAGCGGACGAGCACTGTTTAGTCCGCTCTGGCATGGGGGCGAGCGGTCCGAAGACGATCCACGAAAAGAGCATCAGACACGACCAGCCCCACCCCAGGACAACGACAACCCACGAACGGAGTCGTCGTCGTCGCAGTCGCTCGAACCCGCAACCGGCGAACCCTTCCCGGGACACCAGACGCGAGAGCATCTCGAACAAATTCCCTTCGTTCGAAACACGAGCAACCTCCCAGGCCCTGAAAAGATCTTTTAGCGGAGCTTCGCGGGCTACGAGCACAAAACTGTCGACCATCCTGCAGCTTGGCCAATCTCGAGGCGATCCCTCGATGGCCAGTCTGCGGGGTTGGCGTCTGTAGAAACTCGATCGATGAAGAAATTGACCCTATATTCAAGAGCCAATTCCCAGAAAACTTCAACGAGCTCACAGAGATCTTCCTCAGAGGAGTATCCCTTAACTAGAGCAGCCTCGACCGCCTCAGAATCGATCAGGAGGAGAACGTCCTTGTTCTTCACGTGATCCCGAAACGTCTCGAGCGCAAGGATCGGCGCGATCATCTCGATCGGGACGATCTGGGTCTTTCTCGCGAGCCAGCGATCCGACACCTCAACCGGGATCACCTCGGTGAACTGCTGCTTAGGAGCATCGGCCCGCCGATCGAACATCACAGCACCAAAGCGATCGGCCCCTTTTTCTGATTTCCGGTGGTCCGGAGTGAAGCCGTCAGTGAAGATCACGACGGAGAGCGGAGTGATATCTCCCGCGGAGGACCGTGGATGATAAGGTTCCGCCAGTACCGAAGCGAGCGCTCCAGAGCCACGTTGAGCTCCATGCGATCGCTAGACTCTAGACCGATCCTTGGAGTACTGGCGCTCCGAGAGGGGACGGAAGAACGCACGTCCCACTTTTCCCCAGAGCTGACTCGCTCCGAACATGAGCTTGCCCTTGAGCTTCCCAGCGGTTCCCGGATCCAGAGTGCCAGCCTCCAGGATCCCGTCGATCGAGTCCAGGAGCTCCTGCTTCCTCATGATCTCAAGGACCAAGAGCTCGAGGTTGAAGGTAACGCCCAAGATCGCGGGCGCGACCGACAGCTGGAGCTTCTTCTCGTCGAACAGAGCACCGAGCCAAAAGTGGATGCACTTGGCAACGATCTTAGCCGACGGCGCCGTGAGATCGGTCTCGAACCCGTACTTGTCGTCATAAAAGTTGAAAGCGACCATGCTGAACAGCCGGACGAGAATGTCATTGATCAAGGCCGAGCGGCGATTGTAGTTGTAGACCGCAGCCACGAGCCCAAAGGAGTGCCCGGTCACAACAAAGAACTTAGGAACGCCGTCGCCAGGATCCTTCAGACAGATCACACTGAACTTCCTGTGCGCCGGCAAGATCGGAAGCTGCCGATAGGCCTTCCGCTCGTCGAGGACCCATCCTTGCAAGGGGCGATCGCCCCCTCTGGTGCGGAGCTCGCGCAGAACGGCCACATTCAGGTCCGTGGAAGTGAGCTCCAACTTCTCGGTGATCACCGCGGTCTGGTTGATCAAGTTGCAGGTGGCACTGTCACAGCCCCTGACCTTGTTTTTCGGAACCACTTCGAAGCGCTGGGTCGGAATCCAGTCGGAGCACTCCAAGAACTTGGAGACTTCCTCTTCGGATCCGAACGGACCCAGCGTGGAGCCTTCCTTGACGTCCTCGAGCGTCGCGTTCCAAAGAGACCTCAGATTGTCAGAGACAGGGACCGACATGCATCTGCGAAAGACCTTGGCTCGCAACTCCCAGGCCCGATCTAGAGCCTCCTGCACAGGCACCGAGCGCTGTGGCTTAGTGAACGGCGGCCAGCGCCCCGATCGCTGGATCTCACCCACGATCGGGAAACCATTGCGAATGCCCTGGAGAATCTGATGATCCGTGCAGCCGATCGCGGCGAAGAGCTCTTCATAGAGAGCCCCATGCGTGCAGGAACCCAGCTGTAGATCAGCGTAATCTGGAGCACCACGAAGAAGCCGACGAAGAGGGGCGTCGGCGATCGCCCGCAAAATCTGATCTGTCTGAGGAAGAAGCGCGAGCGCACGTTGGTGCCAAACTTGCAGTCGCTCCGATCTGCGAGCAACGAGCGCTTGCGGGGAGGAGACAATGAATCTTGATGTTGTCGACGATCTTGTCGGGGAGCGCTGGCTGCACAGTGAAGGGGTGCAGAACTTGCAGCGACCACTGGATAGCTTGACCAGGCTCGCATTCGATGTCGAGCAGCGGCTTGGCGGCGCCACGCTTGAGCTGATAGCCGCTAGCCGCCGCTAGCCGCCGCTAGCCGCCGCTAGCCGAACGGCAGCGGATTGGCGATGGCCCTTCCAAGAAATCTGGAATCCCAAGGTTCGTTTGCGATCTTCTGTCGGAGCAGTGAGAGCAAAGGACGCAGCGAACTGCTGGGCCGAATGCTGCACGATCGTGGCCACAGCGATCGCCCATGCGCTGCAAAGCGCAGGGGGATAGACCTGAGCCGCCTTGGTCTTGAAGACCTTCTTCCCAGTCACCGAACGAAGCACTCCGCGAAGAGGTTCATGAACATGCCCGCCTGAACAAGTTCGCGCAAGAACCAAGAGAGCCGCATGGCTCGCCAGAAGCCGCGTAGGCTTCCGGTGAGGGGAACCATACTCGCACTGATCAAAGTCGACGTTGTAGAGGTGAAGACGAACTTTAAGTTGTTGAACCTGGGGAACTTGCCAGATCAGACTGTCCCTCGGGTTTTCGATCGAGGCATCCCCACCAGCTTGAACCACAGCCTCGAAGGGGAGAAGAGAACGAAACAAGAGCTCGTTGGCCTCAAAGAGCTGGGCCTGGTGGCTCCTCTTGAGAACATGAAGACCGAGCGGCAGCGCCTGCGAACGCAGGGGAGGGGGCCCTCTTGGTCGATCCCTGGCCACACTAAAGGTGGAGCAGGGGACGCCCAAGTGCAGAAAAGCGATCGCCCCCATGCGGCAGAGCAAGAGGAGCCAGTCGAAGACCTGTGCGTCCAGCAAGTCGATCGACTCCAGAACGTTCTCTGAGATGCACGTGTCGATCGGCGGCAAGGTCTTAAGACCTTGACGTCTCCAGCAGACAGTGAGACCAGCAGACCCAGCAAAGATCTCCAGACACCATGGACCAAGCTCGCGAACAGTGTCTGGATCACGGGGCACGTCCGCCCAAAGAGCCCACGGCGGCGGCCGGCCCGAAGGGGCAGCTGTCAGTTTCTGAAAAGAAATGTCATTGTAACAAATACGGTCGCGAACTTTTCACTCAGCAAAACGGCCTTGTAAAGCGGAGTGTCTCAGGTACTGCACATGCGCATTGTTATGCACACTGAAAAGGGGCATGCTAGGTAACAGAAGTATTTAACACGCCCTCTTGGATTCGCACCAACTGTACAGTTTGCGAAGCCACACTGGAAAGTTTGTAAGTTGCGAAACTGCTGCTCTGTCAAAGCTATTCCAAAGGTCTTACATGACAGAGTGCGGGAGAAAAGCTACGTCACTAAAGAACGAAGCTACGCAGTACAGAAAGAAGCTACGCCAGTCTCAGCTCAAGTAGTTGTTAGAGCTACGTGTTGACGCAACTTTCTCAGCGTTGTTTCTTCTTGATGTTGAACATCTTGTCATTTGGATTCTGCTGCTTCAAGCTTTCGTAGATGTCATAGAGGCAACGGTGGCACGGTGCAAGTCCGCGCTCTACTGCTTGTGATAAGCTCATCTCTCGAGTGGCTTTGGCGTCCTTCGTGATGCTACTGCAATCTCTACGATGACATGAGCGCCCATAGTGAGTTGCAATGTGAACCCGCATGTTTCCATCTATACCGTCCATACGGCACCGCGGAGTATGATTTTGAAGTATTGGCAACACCTCCTGTTCCATCCACTCGTGTAGTCTTCGTTGGGTAACACCATCCAAACCAGGATTGTTGTTGTCGTCGCGGCCATAATGTGCATGAGGATCTTGTCCACGAAGAAGTCGTTGATCTTGTACTCCACGTTGTGCGCCGGCGTCTCGATGAGGAAGTCGTTGATCTGGTACTTCACGTTGTGCGCCGGCGTCTCGATGAGGAAGTCGCTGATCTTGTACTTCACGTAGATGTTCAGGTTCTCTTTGATCTCCCGGTAGAAGAGGATTTGCCACTGGACTTTGAGCTCGTTGAGGCCACAAGTCGATGTTGATAACGATAGTCGGCAACCGTCTGCACATACAGGTCGTCAAAAGGAGCACGAAGGAGACGACCAGCAACCATATCCACATCCAAGGCTGATAATCTTCCCATGTGAACCAGGTTTGTGTACTCATCAGCTTGTTGTTGTAGGACTTTGGGATTCTTGGCATAGAAGTCTGTTGACTTGAGCTTCTGGTGTTGTTCATAGAGGAATCGCCGAAGGGTTTTCTTGGCATAAGCTGAATGTCTTGACTTTTGGGAAACTTGTCTGATTTTCTTCTCCTTGCTACCGCTGGGTTTCCGCTCGTCGTCGGAGTTGAGGTCGAAGCTTGCTGATGCCGATAGAAACCACGGTGTTCCTGGCGCTGCTGTTCCTTGTCCTTGTCCTGAAGCTTTGGGTTCTTTGCCAGGATGAGGAGCATTGGAAGAAGAACCATGAGCATCAGCATTGAGGCCATCGCTACTTTCATCCATGTCCCGTGGGACTCAACTGCTGAAACTGTCACGCCTTCCGCTCGATCGATCAACATAGAGGCTAACATGAGTCGGAATGCTTTCAAGCCTGTGGACCCAAAAATGGTCCTTCTGATGATCTCTTGCGCGTGTTCTTCATCACCCAAGCGAGTCTCACTATCAAAGACATGGAAATGGTAAAGCAGCTGATTCATCTTTGATGCACTGAAAGTCTTTGTCAAAAGGTCTGCAGGGTTCACTCTCCCACTGATCTTGCGAATGCTGAAGCTACCGTCCTTAAGCTTTGACTTAATCCACAATGCACTGGTTGCCAAGTGACGCGTCCGACCACAACCAGCCTTCTTGCAGAAACCAATAGTAGCGCTCGCATCCGTCCGATGCACCAATTCAACCTTCTTGCCAGTGATGAAACTCACCACTTCTTTCAGGAACAATCCTTCAGCTACGGCTGCTAAACAGGCATACAGCTCACTTTCCATAGAACTCAGAGCAATCACATGCTGCCTACGAGATGTCGAGTACACTGGGATGCCGTTCAAGAAAATGCAAAAGCCCGTGGTAGACTTCCGATCATCACCCGAAGCAAAGTCTGCATCCGACACCGTTTCAAGCAAGTTCTCAACCTCAAACGATGAGTGGTCACCGATGCCACTCTGCTCATTCAAGAACGAACGACCTGGACATGTAGCTGGGAATCGAGTCTCATGATCCATAGTGCCTTTGAGGTACCTTGCCACATGCTTAAGGCACCGAAGATCCTGCTTGCAAGGCGCGGTGGCTTTCGAGGAAAGCCTTCTTGATGCGTGCTGCACTTCTGGCCGATCCGGTGAGATGTATAAGATGATCCCGGTACATGATCGAAACAGACTATGTTCATCTGCGGAAAGTGGTTCGTCGTCGTCTGGCTGAGGTGACATACCCGATGGCCAAACCGTTGGTTTTGATGATGCGTTCTGGAGCCCTAAAACTTCAAGAATCTTCAGAACATACTTTGGCTCCTGCTTCACGCTGATGTAGTCACCATGCCCTTCATACGCCCTCTTCAAGAAGCGACAGCTACCGGAATCCAACCTACACGGTCCTTCAACCTTCACCTTCAACTTGTTTAATTCGACGTGCTCTCGAAGCTTCTCCATCTCGCCCGGTGCAGCAAGAACCTTGCCGTCATCCACATGAGTGTTGATGACCAGTCTCCCCGGGATAGCAAAGATCGCTGGAGCAACTTCACAAACTTTCATGTCATGCTTCTGAAGCACTGCACTGAAGAACTCATACCATCCCTGAGCACCATCCCGTTGACCTGGTAGATTGTACAGGATTCTGTAGACCCGGCCGTTGGCCCTGACGTATTTGGGTGTGCGCTGTGGGACCATGAGATAAGCGTCTGAAATGTCTAGCGAATACAGCTCTAGCTCAACTGATGTAGCAGCCATTGCCGCAAGGAGTTTTGTGGTACTAGAGATAGAAGCTGGACTATACAAGTCATCAAGCTCTGGGGATAGAGAACGAAACTCTCGACCCACCAGGCGGCTTCTTCTTGTCCACTTATCATCTCTCCACCTCCAATCGCGGACGAACTTTGAGCTCAACTCGGTTGTGTCATCATCCAACTGTTCTTCATCTGCATTCACTAATACACCCATGCCAACAAGCCTATCGAGTTCGAACTGATCACGCTCGGCATCGAGTTGTGCCAAGGCCTCATCGCTCAGCTCTGGTGGACCCGCTTCGTAGTTGTTCAGCATAATCGTGTCCATCTCATCAATTACCTGATTGAACTCACCATCGTCTTGAGGATCCACTACTTGATCATGCTCTTCAGACACTTCCGGGACTTCAATCGGCTCTGACGGGTCATACAAGTCATCTCTAAGTCTGCGCACCATAAATGAAACATGTGCAACACGGCCCTCACCAAGCTTTCTGAACTTCGGACTGCTCTCCAAAGCTGCACTACCTTCCTCCTCTACTCCAACATTCTCTGCCAAGATGTCTCGTGATCCACCAGATGCAGATCCAGTGCCACTGCTCCCACTGCCGCTCTCACCTGGTAGTGACATGGAGTCGAGCGACACGTCTTTCTTAGAGGTAGAGGAGGATGAGGAAGTTGTTGGGTCTGAACCTGCTTCATCTCCCGGTCCACTTTGCTCTCTCTGATCTCGTTCTTCTTCTGGAGGTGCTTGTTCTGCTTGTTCAACAACTGCTGGGAGACGAATACGACGACCACCACGAGGGACTCGAACACCAACTACACCAAGAGTCAAATTCCACGATACGCCTTTCACTGCATCCAAGAGCATCGGTTCAAACTCGGTAGGGGACCTCCTGATAGTACGAGCAAATTGTATACCTTCAGAGGTGCCGATCACATTGAGCGCGCCACTATGGGATCTGCCTAGGTACACACCCTTGATCCACGTTGCACCCTTGGCCTTGACTTTGGGCAGGCACTGAGCAAACACTGAGCATCCGAAAGGAGCAATTTTCGCGGCAAACGAGTGGCCATGGATCAATTCGTAAGGAGTTTGACCAGACGATAGAACATGATAACGAGAATGAAGCCACCCTGCATGTCGGAATGCCCATGTGAACACCGGGTGAAACGACTTGACCTGGTAGCCACACTTCAACTCAATCGCTCTAAGGAGGCAATTTCCAAGCTGACGTATTGTTTGCACATAGCGCTCTGCAGGCAATCCTTGATGTGTTGACGCATCTGGGGGCACAGGCTCGCGTTCTGTCTTGAATCCAAGCTTCGTGCGAACTTGAGTGATGTGGTCTACAAGCTGGTTCATCGCTGGTTCGGTATCAGCGCGGATGTGTACTTCGCGATACCCTAAGGACGACATCATTCTCACAATCTCCTCAGTGCAACCGCGAACTGAAGCTCCACCTTTGACGTCAATGGGCAAGACCAGGACATACTTTGTCTTCATGTCGACGACCAACAAGTGCTCACACAACGGATCTCTCTCATCTGCTGTGCCCTCGGTCCCCGTGTACATGTAGTCCAATGACACGACTGGTATTGCACGTTCTTCGGGCGAAGTTGCGGTATGATTATCCTCTCTCGAGCGCGCAGCTAGGCATGCTTGGCACCATGGTTGTCGCGGTAAATGTGTCAGAGCATGTAATTCTTGTTCAGCAACCGATGGCAACTTTGCTAGCGGTTCTCCTTCAGCAGGTCTCTCATACTCTTTCAACACTGCGTCGGCAATCTGCGTGACTGCATCTAGCCTAGACTTTGTGACCGATTGTTTGATGCGATTCCATAGTACAGCCTTTGTACCATGATGGGAGATGTCCAAGAACTTGCATGCGGCACGAAGTGTTCCCAATGACGAAGCTTCATCAACATCTATGCCAGCAAGTGAAACTCTCTCTCTTCCATCATCTACCTGAACTTCTGGAGGAGGCACCATAGGAGCCTGTTCCGCATCGCGCGCCGCCAAAGCCTCTTGAGCTTCCGCGCGTTCACTCTCCCTCTTTTCTCTCTCCAACTCTTCTCCGACGCCAGCTGCCGGTACCGAATCACGTACAAGCTTCCCGAAGCGCTGGATTTCAACAGGACGTGTAGACAGCAAAGTGAGAATGGTGTAGTTCGCCCCATCAGGTGAAATCTGGTTCCGTTCATTGCCTTCCCAATACGCTCCCAACTCAAAGACTTCGAAATGGTCTGGTTTCGGACGACCTGGGATGTGAAGAAGCGTAGTTCTATAGGGCCAATGATCACACGGAAACGAAAGACTGGGATCTTCTGTGACCGACGAGTGCTTGCTCACGAATACAGGAGTTTCATCACTCGTTAGCTGCCAACCGTCCGTGCCCCTCACAACTGTCTGCACAAGTTCATCACCGACATGAAGAACTGCACGAACGTCAAGCTCATCTTGATCACAGATCTGTCTGATGTACATGTTCATGGCCAACGAGTTCTTCTGGAAATGCACAGGCACATGTCTCTCACCCTTGGACAACAGCATAGACTCTTCACCCTGAACCAAACTCCAGCCATCTCGAAACAACCGTGCTGAACAGAGCAGCGGTGCTGCGACCTGCGCCAGCACAGCATCATCTTCAAAGACGACCGTGTCGCCTTCCATCGTTTCAACCTCGAATTGGACTCGAGCTCTCAGGCTACCTCCTGGAATGGAGTTGCCCTGCGCATCTCGAAGCTTGTAGGGCTTTCTGTTGTCGGAAGTTCTCACACCTACCTCCGCAAAGCGATCAATTGGAAGGACTGTGACATCCGCACCGCTATCGAAAATCACGCTCTCAAGCTCCACAGTCCCGACAGCACGCACATGATGATGGAGTTGATCGGCAGTGATGTTGGCTTCCCCTACAGCGATATTGTCTATGAAGCTTCCCTCACAATCACAAAGCTCATCTTCATGAAATGGTTCTTCAGCTTCACAATCCGGATCGTCAGAGAGCTCATCTTGCACCGTGAGATCATAAACCAAACAACTCGTACTCACTAGCTCGGACTCTTCGTCTGACACCCCAAGGCGTCGCACCCAATCTCCGTACTCAGGCTCCGTAGGCCAAGATGCCCACTCAGCTTCCGCATAAGCTTCCCAAGAGGCTTGATCATAAGGATCCCACTCGGCTTCAGCTACGTAGGCTTCCCAGGATGCTTCATCTAGATACTGCTCACCGTCAGCTTCGAACTGCATCTGCCACTCAGCGTCATACAAAGCATCACTCCACTGCTGATCATCGCCATGCTCACTCTCAGTGCACTCTCCTAGATCTCCAAGTCCAGCAGCTTGCAACCTCCGAACAAACCCCGCGCTCTGAGCAGGCCTCGCCATCGAAGTCGCCACACCACCAGTAGCAGTTGAAGCCGTCGTACTTGCTGTAGCCGCTGTAGACCCAGGTTTTACCTGGGATGCAGAGTCACTCGGAGCCACACTTGGAGCGTACGTGCCAGCGCCGCTCTCCACTTGACGAACAGTGCCCCAACAGTCTGCAGCCACATGTCCCATGCGACCACACGCGTAGCAAGGACCAACACCTTTCGAACCTTTACCTTTGGGACCTTTGTTCTGCTTGCCTTTCTGCTGTGACTTTCCTTTTCCACTACCGTAGAAGGGCGACATCATGAGCTTTCCTTTCTTGCCACCGAACTTGCCCTTGCCTTTGAAGCCTTTCTGATGAAAACCTCCAGGGACTCCTTGAAGCCCAAATGGTTTCCCCTTCAAACCCTTCTGGTAGGGCTTGCCTTTGCCGTACTTTCCACCACCAAACGCTCCCTTGCCTTTGGGCTTACCACCAGACTCAGCATGAAGTCTATCAATCTCCATTGGACTCGGACCGCTCTGATCACTCGTGAAAGGCATGCCGAAAGATGACGTAGTTGATGATGTGAGCTGCAAACCACGCATGACATGTTCTGTAGTCCAACTAGCCGTAGTCTTCTCAAACTGCAAAAGCTTGTCTCTAAGCCCCGTGTATGTTGTGTCACCGGACAAGTTCAACTGAATGTGTCGCTTCACATCACTCGGCAATCCCTTCAGAAGTGTGCTCATCTTCAAGTTGTCAGGATAAAAGGTATGACTGACAGCCTCATATTCGCGGATCAGTCTCTCGTAGACCAACACATATTCAAGGAGGGAGCTTCCAGCCTGAAGTGGCGGAAACGACACCAGCGCTTCCGCAAGCGCCAGCTCACGGCTTCTGGTAGAAGGCTTCAATTCCTGATGTAGTCTCTGCCAAACGAGGAGCCCGTCACGGTTCGTGACAGCCTTCAGGAGCCTAAGGGGCCTACCTTTCAAGTAGGAAGAAAGAATAGAGTAGAGTCGAGACGATAGGCCCTCTTCCTACCAGCATCCGAGTACTTGTTGATGTCCATGCTTTCAGCTTGTGTTTCGGCATGTCGAAGATCTTCACGATAATCCGGATCATGTACAAGTAGCCAATTGACAAAGAGAAAAGACCATTCCTCGAAACCACTGATTTCTTCTTCAAGGGATTTTGGAGCAAACACATCTGGAGCTTTGACGGCCTTGCCGCCATCCTTGAACGAGTTGCTATTCGACGAAGCCAATGATTGTATAGCCTGAGCTAGCTGTTGTACTACCGAATCTGGAAGTGTTGCAGCTGCTGATTGAGCACTTGCTTGAGCTGGTGCTGTTGGGCTCTGGGGAGAAGGTCCTTCGAAGCCGGGAGGAGGTGCTCCAGCTTCCATTTCACTTATGTCGTCGTCACTCATCCTTCGCAGCCAGACTCAAGGCCGTTCAAGTTTCTGATGTTCCGCAAAACAAGAAAATTTTGAAGAAAATGAAGTACAGGCCACCCTCGAGCGGCTCTTGAAAGAAGATATAGGATTTCAGGCCACCCTCGAGCGGCTCAAAGAGTTGTAGTCTCCCGCAAGAGGCTACTTCGCGAATTGCAGTGGCTCGCCGCCACACTCTTGTACTCAGTGCCCTAGAACTGGCCGCCGCGCAGCCCGATGGCTCACTCAACCGAAAGACACACACTTGGGCACTACTCTACACACCTACACACACACACACACTGGGGTTTGGTTCCTGACCCCGAGCAATGAGCCCAGACCCAAAGGAATGGACCTCAAAGCTCCGCTACCATAACAAATACGGTCGCGAACTTTTCACTCAGCAAAACGGCCTTGTAAAGCGGAGTGTCTCAGGTACTGCACATGCGCATTGTTATGCACACTGAAAAGGGGCATGCTAGGTAACAGAAGTATTTAACACATTGGCAGCCTGAGCCGGCGGCTGCTGCGGCGGGGGGAGAGCGAAATCCCCCGGTGGTCTCTCTAGCACCGGAGCCGGCGGGAGACGACCAAACTCCCCCGGCGGCGGCACAGGAGCTCAGTGATTGCCGTGGTAGGGGTGGTCTCCCCCGCACTGCACGCAGATATGCTTGTTCTTGCATTGATCACCGAACCGGCAGCCGAGCGAACAATTAAACCATGGGCAGCGGCGAGCACCAGTGTAGGAGAAGGACATGATCTTCTTCCACTCCTTCTCCGGAACTCGGGTGTCGCGATCGACCCTGTCCTTCTCCGTGAGCTTAGGCGCTGAAGGATTGTTCGGTTTCGCCTGATCACGAGCGCGATCGCGCTCTGCACGAGCTTGCTTGAGCAACTCCTTCTCCTTCTGCCGACGAGCGCGATTCTTGCGAGCTTTGGCCTCGTTCTTCGGAGGTGTCGGCGGAGGAGACCTCGAGCGTGGCCGCTTCGGAGGAGTGGCGAACTCGTGCTTGACCTGGCGGAACTTCTCGAGCTCGGCAGTGGAGCGAGCGTCGTTCCAGAGCTGCTTGTGGTTCTTGAGGACCTCGCAGAGAGCCTCGGAGAACGTGGGAAAGTCCTTGCGCTTGTCGTTGTTGAGCTTGTAAAGCCTCTCGGCTCAGGAAAGGTCAGGCTAGTACAGTAGCCTTTTTCCTTTCTTGCCATGGCATTTGTCAGCGCCTGAGCAGTCCCGGTCCCAAGTCCGGGAGGGAGTATTAGACTTACAGCTCTCTAAAATCTCCCAGAGGTGAGGGTTGTCGGTATTGCGAAGCCGACAGGAGCCGTACTCAACATGAGTGCTGCGAAACAGCCTAGTGGTTCGACCAAGCATCAGCCCGTTCCTAAAGGGAAGGGTAAACGCTCTTATCAAAGGGCAGCACGTAAAGCTCTGCTTGAAGGTAGTGCGGTCTACAAGGGAAGGACGATGTCGTCAACAGAGCTTGGAGTTGCTCCGGCACATGTAAAGCCCACCAATCCCGGCAAAAGGACTCGGCCTTCGAAATTTACAGAAGATAAGAATCTCAGCTATCTATCCTGGAACGCAGGATCTCTCACAACAGCAGTTTGGGAAGAGTTACTCTCCGTACTGCAAAGTGCCGCATTTCAGGATGTGAAGCTAGTAACTGTAGCAATTCAGGAAACACACTGGAGGGGCTCTTGGCAATTCAGCAAGTCAGGCTAGCACGTGATCAGCTCTGGTTCTACAGGGGAGAAGGGAGCCGGGGTCCTCATAATGGTGCACTCCACGCTGTGCAAGTCACAGGATCTTCGCTACAACGAGGTTGTTCCAGGAAGAGTTCTCCAGGTCCGAGTGCCGAGCAACGGCATCTCACTGGACGTCTTCAGCTGCTATCAATGCGTTTGGCGCTCTATAAGGAGACAGTCGCTCAGAATAAGGAAACCCGGAAGCTGACCCTTCACGCCCTAAGTAAGTCCATCCGAGCTGTTCCCAATCGTAACACTCTCCTTGTGCTAGGAGATTTTAACTCCTCGCTCAAAACCGACAATAAACACGTAGGGCCATGCACGATCCAGGCTTGCAGACTCGGGCATCGCGGATCTAAGGATCTCCAGACCCTACTGTCGGAGCACCAGCTAGTCGCAACCAACACTTGGGGAGTGCATAGACCAGCCACTCATGTACAAGGCAACTCTGTCTCACAGATTGACTTCTCGTTTGTCAGGATAGCACAGTCTCAGGGCCCCGCCAGGTTTTGCCGACCACTAAGGACCTTCCCAGTTGCATCCTGGAGGGATGGTAGTAGGCATTTCCCCCTTCTTGGTAAACTGAGGCACAGCAGGAGATACTCCGCCCAAGCCTCAAAACTCTATGACCAGCAGGCAATGGAGGATTGCTACAGACACCGTTCCCCGAAAATACAGGCATTTGCCAGGGAGGTAGACTCCCTCCTTCAGGATCATCCCCAAACCTGGCAGAGTCTCCATCAAGCAATGAACTCAGCTCTAGCGACTCACTTTCCCAAGAGAAAGGAAGCAGCACACAGATCAGATCTCAGCATCTGGGAAGAGCGCTCTGTCTTGCGCTCACTTCCACTAGCAGTCAAGGTCTTAGCAGAGTTCTTGCCCGAGCTGCAGGTCCGTATGGTGTTCCGATGCTGGTGTTCGTTCTCCCAGCAAAGTGGACAGGCGAGAGTAGCAAAGCGTCTCAAGCAGGAGCGGCGGCGGCAGGAAATAGATGAACAACTCGAGCAGGCAGAGCTTAAGTCCAAGCAGGACGGGAGTCATTCCCTTTACAAGGTAATCAAGCGCTTCAGGTCGGGGAGGCCCCAGGAAAGAGTTCAGCTTCGTGATTCTGAGGGTCGCTTCCTTAATGCCAAGGAAGAAAGAAGACAATTAGAGGAATATTCCCTAAACCTGTTTGGAGCAGGGGATGACTTCCCGCTTTCAGGGATACAGGCAGCCTGCACATCACTGATCACGAAGTGCAAGAACAGCTTGGCACAATAAAGCTCGGCAAGGCAGTTCCTAAAGAGAGTCCTCCCGTAGTAGCCTGGCGCTCCCTAGGTCCCCAAGCAATCCGGCTAATCTCGGACACCCTTAATAGGGAAGTCACTGCAGGAAGGCTCACGGACAGTGTCACCTCGTCACAGATCTCCTGGCTCCCAAAGCCTCCCAAGAAGCCAGACAAACCAACCTCACTTCGTCCTATCGGGGTGATAGCGCCTGAGGGTAAGGTCCTAGCCGGACTCGTGAGGAAGAGACTCAAGTCTACCCTCCAGCAAGCAATGACCGGCGTCTCTCAGTTCGGCTTCGTCCCAGGTAGGGGCACAGAGGAGGCTATCTGCAAGGCCCTTACACATGTGGACCAGGCCAGGCTCAGACAGGCCCTCACCACTAGGGCTGCAGGTAAGGGACAACAGGGGCTCAAGCTCAGAGGCAGTCTCACCATGAGCGTGGACATGAGCAAAGCTTTTGACACTGTAAACAGGCTGCGATTAAGAGAGGCCCTGGAAGCCGAACAAGCAGATCCTCTTCTGATAGAGGTGGTAGGTCATCTCCACATCAAAGCCTTGTACAAGATGACAGCCAGCGATCAGAGCTTTGAGATAGCCACACGCAGGGGAATCAAGCAGGGATGCAAGCTCGCACCCTCTTTATTCGCCTTTGCGTCAGGGCTTCTCTTTAGGAAGCTCTCTGGTAAAATCAGCCCAGCTGAACTAGTGAAGCTCCTCACAATGTACGCGGATGATAGCTTGATCCAGTCGCATTTCGACTCTGAGTCCGGCCTTATGACAGCACTAGGGTACTGTGACCTGCTTCTGGATCAGTTGGTAGAGCTTGGGTTCAAGGTCAATCCGTCCAAGTCAGCAATTCTGCTGCAGCTGCAAGGGGGCTCAGCCTCGACCATTAGGAAGAAACTCTTTCGCCAGGTCGAGGGAGAGAAGTTTGTTGAACTCCCTTCGGGCAGGCTGATATCGCTGCGCTACCAGGTCCCATACTTGGGGGTCATTCTTTCTTATCACGACTATGAAATGAAGACTCTCAAACATCGGCTGTCATCCAGTAAGCTTGCCATGTCAGAAGTAGCCCATGCAGTTCGGAACCACCGAGTCTTATCAGACAGAC